TCGGGGAGCTTCTTGTACCAAGTCATTGCTCCCTTCCTCAGCATGGTTGGGAATAATCTACATTTGATGGCGCCTCTGGCGCCATGGTAATCGAGCAAGGCATCGATATTCTCGATGTGCTCGTCAAGATCTGTAGTGCCATTGTACGTGCCCAAGGGTGGGGGCTTCTCCAGCACTCTAGGTAGGCGCATGGCCATAATCTCTTAGGATAACAGGCTGTGATGATCGTCGTCGTTGGTACTGCTAGACCTTGAACGCGATGGGGTACTTCGTTTGGGGAAAGGACTACGATCTCTGCGGAGAGATGGACTTCAAGCTCGGCCCTTGGATTTAGGTGGAGGCGAACGATGACGCTCTGTCCAAAAATCCCTTCTGGTTCTCTTAGCCCCGGGGGAGTGCTGGCTCTGGAGAGAGGCGTGTTCGAACTTTCTTACTGCCAGAGAGTCTGACTCTGCTTGTGCTCGACGATCTCTTCCTCGTCTGGGAGAAAGACTCTGAGATCTTCGATGTTCTTTCCTCGGTGGAGGTGATCTTGGTCGGCGGGACTCTTCTAAGGCTCCAATTCTTGCGTTCTGTTGGAGGATTAGAAGTTTTGTTTTGTTGAGGACCTTTAGTAGGGTCGCCATGGTCGGGTCGGCGTTGAGAGGAACTAGAACGATCTGATGATCTTCGAAGGGATGGCCCCCGACATTGTTAGCACGATCGGGGGAAGGAGACGAGGTGGCTCCATCTCTCTATTTATGGACTTCGCTCTCAAGAAAGGGGGTTGCTCTGTCAGCATCTGTCTTACTGACGAGGAGGATGGTATTGCGAGCATCGTGGACATTGTCATGGCTGGCCATGATCGAAATCTTGAAAGAATTGCTTTGGTCTTGAGTTTACGGGAAAAGAAAGACGAGGAGAACAGAATTCTCACAGACAGCGCTGTTGTACCCCAAAATTTGACCAACCGTTTCTTGTACTTGGCTTATGTTTTCTTTTCATTTGGCATTTTTGCATAGCATAGCATTTGATCTTGAGACAGGGGATCAAGGTTTTTTTGTGGCTCAGGTCTCTTTTTTAGTGCAAGAGACTAAACAGCGAGCATCAGGAGCTCTGGCATTTATTTTGCCCGACGATCGAGCGGCCAATTTTATTTTTATTTTGCAGGATAATTTGTAGCTCAGGAGGCAACATTCAAGCTATCTCAGGCATTCTCGCAGTTTTGATATTCGAAAGCAAGTTTCAAAGGCTTAACAGAGCTCAGAATGGAAGAAAATGAACCAATGTGCAGATTTCCCTCCAAAAGGCGCCAAAATTCAAATTTTCAAGGTGTTAACCGATTAACCAATATGGTTAACCGGTTAACCATAGCAAAATCAGACCAAATTTGAATTTTCAAGGCAAATTGTGCCTCTGCACGTGAGTTTTTCAAGTGTGCCACTTTGGGGTCCATTTTGATCACTTGTGAAGTTGATTTTACACCAGAAGAAGGATCTAGAACCACTTTGAATTTTGATTAGTTTTCAAATTGATTCAAATTCCCTCCAATTTCCCACTCTTAATCCCATTTCAATTTTTATAACCACACTCCAAACCACCATTCTACTCCTAACCTAGAGCATATTTAACTGATTTGCTTCAAACCTCACAATCAATCCGTATAATTCCATTTCATTTTTAGAATTCAATCTCGCTCTTTGAATTTTGCTCTCAACTTTTCCATCTCCAAAACTCCATTAGAGCTCTCACCTTGGAATTCTTTGATTCTCCATTGGAATCATTGAACTCTAGAGTTAAACCTTCATCCTTCATCCATATTATCTCCAATTCTCCATTCAAATTACGTGCTAGTGTGGATCTGAACTTGGAAGTGGATCTAGAAGAGCTTATTTGGATCGGTTTAGCTTAACTTTGGTGGATCTTCATTTCTACTACAAGAAATCACTTGGATCTTGAAGAACCTCTGGATTTCTTGCTTGGATCTGCTTATTTGAAGTTGAATCAATATTTACCAAAGCAAATCTCCGCTTTGTAGGTTGGAAATTCTAGATCCGATGCTATTTTGAGCTTATTTTGCATAATTGATGTGGATCCTTAATTTTTGGTGGATTTTGATTCATGTGATTTGTGATCTTGCTATTTGAATATGTTTACATGTTGATTGGATCGCTGATTTCTGGTTTAAAATTCGTGCATAATTGATTACATGATCATTTGGATGATTGCACATTGGATTAATTGCTATAAGTGCTTTGAGCTGGTGTTTTTCTGCTTCTGGTACAGTGTTAATCGATTAACCAGTGTGAATTTTCAAAAATCTTTAATGGTTAATCGGTTAACCAATAATGTTAACCGATTAACACTGAACCAGAATGCCACTTTTGGTTGCTTCTCACTTTGAATCTTCATGGATTAATATGATGCATTTGAGTGAGCTGTTTTGGATATGTGTTGCTGTTTTTGATTGTTTATTCTTGATTATCCGACACGCATGGTTCGATTTCTATTTGAATGCATACCTTTGTAGATGTTGTTCAAGTGATGATATTTTGCTTGAGTTTGAAGAATTGTTTGGTTGAGATGTGCTTGTGGTGACTGTTGTCCCACACTTTTTTCCTCCCACTTTTCTTTGATGATTGATGGTAATGGTCGTAGGAGCTCGCTTCTCCCATCCTCGCATCTTTTGTGCCTGCATTTCATGTTGCATTTTATCTTTCATTTCTTTCATTTTGTGATTGAATTGCTTTGTGCTTTCTAGGTCTTTTTCCATGATCCCTTAGGGTTCCTAGTCCCTCGGTTTAGGATGGGAGTAGGAGAGATATTAGGTGTTCAATCCTTTGCATGATAATATTAGGATAGATTTCCCTCTTAATCCCAATCTTAGGAGCACATTGCATGACAACATTAGGGTTGTTTAGTTTCCCCTAGAGTTTGTGTCTTCTCATCTCATCTCATAACCTCTTAAGACACCTAATAACGGATAATAAGTGTTGTACGCTAAGTACTTGGAAAATGATGTTTGGGGGCCTTCTCTCAAACGTCTAGAGTGTTTAGTGTATGCTCTTTGGGCGATATGCGACGCATTCGCTCTCAAATCATAGTCTTTAGTGCAACATGAGTTACAAACTTAACTCAATTCACTTCTTGTTTAAAAAACACAAAACAAAACATCAAACCTTTTTATCCTTCGGGATTAATGGAAAATCATTTTCAAAAAGAGTGTGTTAACTCTTGGTTTTACCGCAAACCAGTAACGCCTAAGTCTCCAATGGTCGAGCAGCAATACACCTAACTGCTAGAACGAAGGTTTAACCCTACTCAGTTAAAACACTTGAACCAATCTGTGGTCGTGTCAGCCCGAACTATGTTTGCTCTGATTTCTCGTACCAGACGAGGATACGTAGGCACAAGACGGTGATGCCTTGGCGAGCAACCTTCCCCACCTTCACTCGTAGTTTTCTGAACTACGTTGACTCTGACTTTTCCATTGTACGAGGGAATACGTAGGCATAGAGCGGCGATGCTCTATCGAGTCTCTTTTCTTTTCTTTTGTCCCCGTGAACCAGCCTTATAGATTAACACCCTTTTAGATAGACAACAAGCGTGGATCCTGTTGAGTACAACGGACGTGAGGGGTGCTCATACATTTCCCTTGCATAACCGACTCCCGAACCCAAGATTTGGTTGCGATGACCTGTCTTTTTCCTTTTCGTAGGTTTTTCCTGATCGTTTCCTTTCCCTCTCTTTGGGATAAATAAAAAACGGTGGCGACTCTTCTGTCTTTGTCGGCCTCTTTTTCGCAGTAGCGACAGGCGCCACTGATCTTGATAGCTGATCAGAACCTGAAGTGGGTCTAAGACTTTGTCGGTGATGCTGAGTTGCAAGGATGAGGAGGGAGTGTATCTGCAAGCACTCTGATGTAAAAGTAAGAATCAGGCGAACAGAAGGCAAGTATAGAAAGTGTATGTCTTAAGGTGATTTGGAATGATTTAGAATATCTGACCCTCTCAAGAGAGAGGGTTTTTATAATGCCAATGTGTTTGGCCATTGGTCCCTATTTTTGGAGCGAGATAACCGCTCCCCAAAGAATAGGTAACTGTCATAAACTAGTCGTTGGGGTGCTCAAAACTAATCGTTGCCACGGGCAAGGACGCAGTCGTGGGCACAAACGTCGTGAATGTTTCTGGATGGTGAAACCGTACGTGACAGGCAGAAATGTGACGAGGGGCAACTGATCCTGGGATCAAATGGTCATTTTTCTCAACAAAAGGGCCGAAGAGAAAGAAAACTTCATTTTGCTCTTAGCTAACAGGACTAATGCTATTGAGTCGTTCTAGAAACATAAATGAATTGGGTCATGTCTAACGATGGCCCAGTCCAAAACAGTTTCTTTCCAAAAATAACATTTATTTCTCTTCTATTTCTTTCTTCTTTCTTTTATCCTATACAATACATCAAATATACTCTATTTCTTATCTCTTTCCCTCTTCTTACACTCTCTATCTTACTTATCTTTTCCGTTTCTCTCTATACCCAATCACACTCTTAAATTCAAAATTGACTTTTTTGAACACACTCTATTGCTAACCTCGTATAGACAACCATGGCAATGAGCCACTTGTTGAGAAGGTTTTTCCCAAACTTTGACATGTTTATATGTTACTCTTTAAGGTCTAATTATAAGGATGACATTTGCAATATTTCTATTTTAAATTATTTATCTCTTTAAAATCAATAACTTTTCTAAGAATACTCACATTTAATTAACTAATCCACATAACTATTCCGTGACTAACGAATTATTTCATTAAAAAAAATGAGACGACAGGAGCATCATATTTGGATATCAGTAACCAGCAAAACAGAATTAAGTATTTGGATATTTGAAAACGCAAAAATGCCAAGAAATAGTAGATAAGGAAAATGGCCCAAAAAAAAACAAAAATGTATAGAACAAACTACTCTTAAATGATCCAAGAAGTATCAATATTCAGTTCCAAGTCAAAGCTAAAAGCTGATCAAGAACAACATGAAAAATTGAGCAGGTTTTTCTTTGATCCCGCCCCATTAACCAAACTTACTCGATTCACAGACAATTCGGCCTTATAGGAATCAGAGTTTAAGACTTTGCGGCTGATATTGTTGTAAATTTCACGGATGACAATCTCAAAAGCCTTTTGGACATTGGTAGAATCAAGTGCTGATGTTTCCATAAAGAACAAGCCTTCTTCTTCTGCAAAAGCTTTGCCTTCTTCTGTGCTCACCTCTCTGAGACTCTCCAAATCACACTTATTTCCGACCAACATTCTTGCGACAGTGCTATCATTTTGAGCTGCAATTTAAGCAAAAATCAAACTCTAAAAAAAACTGTATGGAAAGCAAATATGTAATATGAATTAAGAGCTTTTTAAGGCATGTAGATAGTGATATGTCAATTGTAAAGAATGCAAGTTACAAAAGTTTCTCTTTCGAATGCTATTTATTGAGCCCAGCTACAGACCTAACAAGCCAGACCGAGACATTTTGCAGCAACTACACCAACAGATCTAGGCCGTTTATGAAATTTAAAATACAACTTGGAATATAAGTCATCTGATCTTCATCAGACTATTGAGATATGCAACTATTGAGATACGCGTCTTCATTTCCCGATTCTTCAACAATGCAAATACTTTTGTGACATCAATTTAATCACTAAATAATGCAAAGCCAGATCATTTAAGTCCATCTATCATACAAAATATTATCAAATTAGCTCTAAATTGGGGCTCCAGTATACTCATTTCTCTTAGTCCAACAAAAAAAATATTAATTTGACAACACTGCAAAATGGAGAGACTTAATTGATAACACAATGAGGAAATTGCACTCACTTCCTTAAGATGCGTCTAAATTACACACTCGACTATTATGTAAAAGATATTAACCTCCCTTAAAAATTACACATTTTCCTTATATTTTGTAATATAGAAGGGGGTATGCATGTGTAATTTAAACAGACCTGAGAGAAGGTGAGTACAATTTCTCCAACAAGTAACTAAGGGAGGTGGGTGTTTGTTTAAAAAATAGGAGTCATAATATAATTATGTTATTTAAGTACACTTGTAATTTTTTAAGACAAAAATAAAGGTTCACTCCTATTTGACACTTTAACTCAAAATATTGTACTAAAGTTAAGCAGTAACAGAACAAAAATAATATGCTAAATTTGATGCTATGACAACTATATATCATATGGTAGAATCTGAGTTCTGACAATGACACATGTCATTAAGTGTGGCAGCTAAAAAATGATTTCAGTCAATTAGAAACTTAGATAACACAATCTCCAAGTAAAGTGTCAGATAAATATAACATAAGATAAAGCAAAAGGAAGTTTATTTAACTAGTTCACGTTGTATAGTTATAAATTTGCACACAACAGCATTCCATGTTAAATAGATATTTGCAAGATCTCTAGAGTGTATGTCTTATTGCCAGCTTTGAGAAATCCATGATATCTCATTTAAGTTTACAGCAATGACAATGAACCGTTGTTGATGATCAAAAGCCCTCATACACGCATCTAGCAAAAACAGGGGTCATGTACCAATTTTGGTCCAGTGGTGATTGGATCATCACTGGACATGGTAAAAAAGAGGAACCACTTAATGCCAGAACTAACCCCCAAATCGGATTAGTTGGTCTAGTGGGCTGGTGAGAAAAAAAAACAGGGGTCGTGTTTTTCTAATATAACAATAACATAGTTTTCATTTTTTAATGATTTCCCAATTTTACAACATTGATGAAGAAATTCACATTCATATCGTGAACGAAACAAAACCACCAGGTAGATATCTTTCCAATTCCAAATGAATATATCCTAATCAAATAAAGAAATCTAATCCATGGACAAATTAATTTTTTGTTATTGGATTTGGATCAACAAATCTCATAGTATCTCATTAGATTTAATGGTGGGATTTATTAATCTAATGGTGAAAATTAACTTGTGTATGATACAAGACGTATCTTGTGCACCATAGAACAAAGTGCATAATGTCATACTATAATAGTATTGCATTTAAAAATATCTTAATTTATTAGTTTCTAATAAAGTAAGTGCATAATCATTAAGGATTTAATTAGTATACAGTGTCGACCAATCAAAAATCGCCTACATGCAATTGTTAAGATAATTAAGATTAAAGTTAACATTTTTTATGTGACAAATTAAAATTGATTGACAGTGTATTTTAATCAATGAAATAACCGTTTATCATAGTTAAATCCGCATAAAAATAGAATAATGTCCAAAATACATATTTAACTTACCTTCACAATATGTTAGCTTATAAAAATAAGGACTTAATTAAGTTTTTAATCAAACATCCAATTAATATTATTTTTTGGCCAAAAATTCACTCTTTAAAGATGAATAAGTGGTATATCATGTTGGCTTATTAGAGACATTTTTAAACGTTTTTATATATTATTAACAAAAATAATACAACTAATGTGTCTATTATCGTCATGTCTATGGATTTTCCTAAATTATCCTAAAGTTAATTTTTTTTTGTCTAATAGCCTAATGGCCGGAACCTCATGTTCAAACCTACATTCCTAGTCATTTCCTGCACAGCTATCAATTGAGTTGGCTTAACGAGACCCTGAATTAATGTTAGGCTATGAAGAACGGACATCGGAAAACAACCCAGACAATAGTAATAATTTAAGAAAAATGAAAAGATTAAATGTAATCACAGTTGTTGGTATCAGTTTCAAACACCGGCACTCACACACACGTTTTTTTCCAAAGGTATCCATGTTGCCGATGTTTTAAGTGAAACAAATGATCATAGTAAGAGGTTGACGTTATAGACTCAGGAAACAGAATTCCAATTCCATCGAATTTAGTCTTAATTCCTTAAAAAATTCTATCCCCAATTTTATCGGCATTAGTTAGAGAAATCTGAAATTAGTAGTATTACTAATCATTAATAATAACACTAATAATTAGAGATATAATTAAAAAACTAGGAGTTGCATATCTAATAATTCAGAAAAATTAGGGAAAAAGTTCTTCAAAACAAACTATGATTAGAGACAAATGCAGTATAAATATCCAAGAGAGTAACATAATCAGTAATCAGTAATCACACCAAGAAAAGAAAGTAAGAAGATAAATACTCACTTGTAAGTTCATCGAGCCACCTCTTGATGCTATCAAAAGTCCCTCTTCTACTAATATCATAAACAACAAGCGCACCAAAAGCGCCTCTATAGTAAGCAGAAGTAACAGCTCTGAACCGTTCTTGACCAGCCGTATCCCAGATCTGCGCCTTCACTTCTTTCCCGTCGATTTCCACCGTCTGCGTTTGAAATTCAACGCCGATCGTCGCTTTGGAATTCGAATCGAACTCGTTCCGCGCGAATCGGGAAAGGAGGTTGGATTTTCCGACGGCTGAGTCGCCGATTAGGACGATCTTGAATAAGTACTCCTCGGTTCCGTCGCCGTTCTCGTCCATTTTGGTTGTGGTGATTTGTGGTTGGTTTGGGGGTTTTATGGGGAAACGGTGAAGTTGGTGTCACGTTGTGGAAGAAGAAGAAGAAGAAGAAGAAGAAGAAAAGGTGTGTGTGGATGGAATGAATGTAGAAGAACGTGAAGGGATGATTTGGTTTATCTTGTTTTGGGGTTTTGGGGGTTTTGATTATTTTTTTAATTAATAGATAATGAGTTTTTTTAGCATGGTGCGTGATTAGTGGCGGGATTTTTGTTATTTTTAGTGTCTAAAAGGGCATTTTGACTTGCTTTTACACTTCTTTTTTACTAAATAGAAAATAAGTACGGATGGGGTGAATATCTTTATGAGATTAATTTGATGGATTTTTTAATTTTACGAGATTAGTTATTATTTTATAAAAATTGAAAGAATAAAATAAGTACGGATTTTTTATTTTATTAAAAAATTAAAAGAATAAATAATAATAAATATTATATTAAAAAAATATTATTAATATTACAGTAAAAATGCAACGTGACTTATAATTAGGACAAATTTTTTTAATAAAATAATTTATAATTTGAAATAGTAAGAGCAATTACTAAAAATAAAAATAAAATAAGAAGATGCTTTGAATAGATATTCTTGAAAATTGTTTAAGGCTTTAAGCAGATACTTTTTATGAAAATTTATAGGATTTTTATCAAGATTAGCAAACCGTTTTTAAAGTAATTTAAAAACATTAAATTATCCAATGTCAATTTTTAAATATATATATATATGTACCGTTCTCTTTTAAATGCTATTTTTTAAAAAATTTATGTTTAATTTTAACGGTGGTTTTCAAAGTTTAAAGCAGTAATAATTACTCTCTTTTTTTTTTTATAAGTCTTCTTTTTTTTACACAATAAAAAAAATGTAATAATTGCAGTATAAAAAAGAAAAATTATTAAAGATTTTATAAAATTGTCATTTATTAATAGTATTATAAAGATAAATTTATATAATTGAAAGAAGAGAGGATAATAAATATTTAAGGGTATAATAGAAAAACTAACATTAATGATTCATTGGTATTATAAAATGACTTATATTATTGTACAAATTTTTTTCAAAGAGAGTTATAATAAAAAACGGAGGTAGTATAATTTTGTCAAAATTAACCCTAACTATTTATTATAGAGAGAGAGAGAGAAAAAGTATATCAAAATAATTAAAAGTAAAGGGTATTATAGACAAAAGAAAACTAATTGTTTAAAAAGTAACAACAATTAATAGTTTTTTTATATGTTTAAAAAGTATACAACAAAATAACAATTAAAAAAGAACCGATGGAGTATATTCCAAAAATTTTGATTTAAAATTTTAAGCAAAGCATGTTGATTCTAATTCTAATTTACTTTGATGATATTATTTTCAATTCTACTAACGAATCTCTTTGTCAAGATTTTGCTAGTATGACGCAGCGAGTTTGAAATGTCTCTCATGGGAGCTCTCATATTTCTTAGGTTTGCAAATCAAGCAAGTCGAAGAAGACACTTTCATAAGTCAAACAAAGTATTGCCTAGGGTTTCTCAAGAAGTTTAATATACAAAATTCAAGGAACATTTCAACCCCTATGACATCAAATGTGCTAATTAACAAAGACGAGAATGGAGTGGATTTTGACATAATCAGGTATAGAGGTATATCAGATCCTTACTCTATTTAACGGCAAGTCATTCATATATAATATTTTGTGCGTGCATGTGTGCTAGATATCAAATGTCACATAAGAAATCTCACTTTAAAACCATAAAAAGAATTTTGAGGTATCTTAATGGAACATACCAACACAGTCTTTGGTATCCTAAAGGTAGTGCATGTAGCTTAGTAGGTGTCGCGAAGCGAAAAATACCACGAGCATCCACGCGCTTGAGATGATAACAGAGTTGCCGCCAAACACTATTTATTCCGAGAGGAAAGGAAAATATGGATAAAACCATGAAAAGAAAAAAAGGAAAATGGTTATTGCAACCAATTTCAGTTTCGGGAGTCGATTATGAAGGGGGATGTATTAGCACTCCTCACATCTGTTATACTCAACGGAAACCATTTAGTTAGTTTTGTGATTGGAATGTTAGCTTTCGTTAGTTGCTTATTTCTGATTATTAAAAGGGAAAAGTATAAGACTAAAAATAAGTTATTTATTATGGTTCCTGACGAGACTTTGAATCTCGCTCCCATATACCCGCAGGTGAGATGGAGAACTTAAGACTACATAGTTTGGGGTAGTAAAAGCTTGTCGTTTGATCGATTTTAGCGAAAGGTTCTTAGTCGCATTTGAGCCAAAAATATTGCTTGCTACCCAAAACATGGAGAAGTGAACATTAGCATCGCATCAGAATGGATAACATAACTTGGAATCTCACAGAGTTATGTTCTCATCGCGTTCGAGCGGAAAGAATTCTAACTTCTTGTGCATGGTAGGAATGAAGTTTTGTTTGCATCGTCACAGAATGGAAAAAACATCTTTCGTTTATGAAAAGGTTTTGACATTGTGCTAAGGCAGAAAAGAGATTTGATCTGTTGGGTTTATTTTAGGCGGACGACGAATAATCGAGCAATGAAGTGTGCGTCAACCATTCGATTATTCGAGGAGCAGGAAAGTGTAAACTCCTCATTCCCTTTTCATCCAAGTTTTCTTTTAGAAAATTGTTAGCGAAAGACTAATACTCGAGCAATATGACGTGCGTCAATCATTTGATTATTCGAGGAGCAGGAAAGTGTAAACCTCTCATTATGTTTTTAACCAAGTTTAATTAAAATATTTTATTCGATTGAAGAAAAATCGAGCAATATGGCGAACGCCAAACATTGGATCATTCGAGGAGCAAGAAAGTGTAAACTCCTTCTTCCTTTTTCAACCGGATTTGATTAAGAAAAAGGTTTTTAACGTGCTTCGAGTAAGCGGAAAAGAAACTCAAAGTTGATCAATTATTTTATTCGCATTTGGAAACGGTTGATGAAATGGTTTGAAATTTATCCAAAAAGTGTTTGGCATGTTTTGAAAAATGGTTTTGAATCGATGGTGAAAATGCTTGAAAAAAAATTAAAAAGTGGGATTCGTAATGCAAAGTCGCGAGTTCTATTGAAAGGGTGAGAGTTTTAGAAAGATGAAGTGATGGTGTAACTTACGCCATAAACCAATTGAATCGCAATATTGCACATAAGCACATAATTGAATGGCAAGATAAACATTGTGCATACAATATAATCACAACAGGCATGCATTCATCATAATTGAATCGAAAAGTAATCAAACACATAACATGCATGTGTCAAATTATCATAACGCGAGGATGGCAATTGAGTTTACGTAACACAAAGACGTGTGATGCAAAGCTACTAACACATAATTTTAATTAGATTTAAATGTAAAGAAATAGAAATATTGTATGTCACCCCTAATCGAATAACAAGACGCTAACTTGAAGCGCAGTCATCGCAAATAAATCGAGTGCAACGAATTATATCATAACGAAAGCAACGTCACATGATGAAACACAAAATAGAAAAAGGTGACGTGAATTGACATTATGCCAAACTACCAAAAATCATACGAATTTGAATCAAACACGACGACAACATAATTGAAAATGTCGCACGTAAACAAAAGAAAACCAGTCAGCTAACTGCTAACGCAAGATGTGATCATCGCAATCAAAATGAAATACATGTAATGCAATGTTGACGAAGAAAACTAAATTGAATACATGTGATATGCTCGGATCCGATTTCGGTGCAACAATAAATAACAAAATAATATCTCATATACTGAATATTTACATCAATATGTCAAAAGAAAATCCAACAACTTTACGACATACAAATCATGTCGAACCAGCAGATCAATCAACATCATTTTAACACAACGAAAAATGAAAACAACAGAACACACACAGTCATGATCATTTATAATATGTTAACAATTTTACAGACAAATCCAGCATATGCAGAGCAACTGATAACCGAAAAATAAATTATACGATGAAATAGTAGATTCAGTAGTACGAAAACACCACAAAGAAAAGAAATTTGAAAGAGAAGTTACCCAACGCAATGTCATTAATGTTGTCGTTGATGGAGCTGTGAATAGAGAGAATTAGAGAAGTTATTAAATTGAGTTATGGAAAAGTGGTGGTCGCTGAAAACTGTTGTTGTTGTGCATCGCCGGAGGAACAAAAGGTGAGCTTCGGTGGTGGTGTTTTTTTGATGAAGAAGCACGGAAGGATATTGATTGTGTTAATGGTGGAATAGGTGGTCTCCAGCGTGTTGCTGGTCGGTGTAAATTGGAGGTTTGGGTGGGGAGAAATTTGGTGTTGTTAGTCGCTAGAAAAAGTGCAAAGGTGAAGGATGTTATGACAGAGGTTGGACGATGTCACTGACAAAAGTGTTTCGCGGTGGAGAGAGGGTGAAGAAATGTCGATATGTTAAAAACTATGCAGGCAAAGGGAATTTGTCAAAGTGAAGATGAGTTTGTGTGGTTGATTTGCGAGTGAATGGAAGAGCTTGGCCGTCCGGAATGATGGTGAAGAAGTATGGTATGGTTTGTTTGGAGGGAGTTAATGAAGTATTATGTTAAGAATAAGGGGTTGTACATGATGTCACTACTACAGAAAACATATACAACAACGGTTAAAAAAGGGATAACATCACGCATGACATGTCGTTGTTATGTAGGATGTGGTTGTATGTGCGCAACTTGCAATCACGGTCTTACGACTATTATAGAAAACCTAAAAGCGCGCTATATGGTCACAGTTTTTATAACTAATCGTGGTGGTATATACATTTAGACAAATAAGATTTCATAACGGTTATTATAAACAATTGTTGTTAAAAGTACCCAGGGTTTATTATATAATATGTATATTGCTTGTTTTTCAATAAACCTGACAACAACATACAACTATTCAAATTGATGAAGAAGTATATAATCTGAAAATTAAACTCTTCTTGAAAGCCAACTTAAACAATCCACT